GTGACTATCTTGATGGGTGTAGTGACTCTTTTCACCGTGCTTTCACCCTACGTGTATCCTGTGGTGCAAAATCGAAACCTCTGGGCCGCCATGAGCCTTATCGCGATCCTCTTATTTATAAGTGGCCACATGTTTAACCATATTCGCAAAGTACCATATGTCGCCGGGGATGGAAGGGGTGGAATCAGCTACTTTGCTGGAGGGTTCTCAAATCAATTCGGCATGGAAACACAAATTATAGCTGCTATTTGTAGGTTTCTGGTTTGACTAAACATGTGATTGTGCTAATCATTTTATTTTACAGACGCCATCCTCTCCTTTGCAACAATTGCTTTGGCAATGAAAGTTCCCCGTATCGCCGATAACAAAACCCAGCAGGTGGCAGTGATCATCTGGGGTTCTGTTCTGCTTGGCATGTACAGCTTTCTTCTCAGTGTTTTCAAGGTGAAAAATGGCGGTTACCCTTTCTTCCTCCCGCCTTTCTAGATGAGCACCGTGTCATGAAATGGGTGTGTAAGTGCATATCTGGGGTGAAGGCAGGGGGATGGCAAGAGGCCAGATGAAGGGATTCCGCGGAAGGTAGTTTGTGCATACGACATCCGTGGTGTACCTGCTCAGTCTAACTATCATGACACGTGTATTGGCGAGTGTGCATTGGCATAGATTCGAGTCAGAGTACTGCAGCTGGCATTAAAGTAATGCATTTCATGTGTGCGTTTCCGCTATGGAATCGATATTTGAGACTCTAACTCAAGCGACTACGAGTACATACTCTCTTTTTCTTTGTTCAACTCCGCGCGATTATCAGGACTCCGAGAGAAAGGAGGGGGCGGGGGTGGGACTCTCCACACAAATGCACTTTTAGATAGTAGTCTTGTTCAAGCGGGTTGCTACACAGCATTTTCAGTAGTATGTCCTACAAACAGTACACACTGCATACAGACCCGTGACTAGGTACCTATCCATGATATACCTTCGAGGTTGAAGTAGTGTAAATGGCTGACCAATAAGGGGCGGTGGGAGAAAGACCGGCGGACTAGCGCAAGCGGAGTGGATTACCTCGGTGTTTATCTAGGTAGTAGATTATGAACCCGTGGTCTTCTTCTTCTTCTGTGAACTTAACCTCACCCACAATCCAGCCCTATTAGTCGTCATTTTTTTCATATCAGCATGCCATCGCCGGATGATGAAACTAGATCTTTGCTAGCGTCACCAGCTTCTGGTACAACGCTTTTGGTCCTCGTTCAACTGACCTCAAAGATATTCACTTTTACGGCAAATCAGTTGATCCTGAGAGATCTACCACCAGCTTTTCTAGGAGTTGCAGCCCAGCTGGACCTATACTCCATTACACTGCTGTTTTTTTCTCGGGAAAGTATTAGACTGGCGATTCAAAGGCAACCGCTTGTTACCTCTGTTTCCTCGGATTCAAGTAGTCATGGTAAACACGCAATTGACAACAAATCCAGGGCAACTAAACAACCAAGAACCCAAGAAGTGGAATCACAGTCCGTGGTCAATATGTCCTACTTGAGTCTGGGAATGGGACTTCTCTTTGCCGTGATACTCGGTACCTCTTACATTCGTCTTGCCTCGGATGAAGTTTCTCAAACACCGTCTTATCACCGAAGTGTGAACATAATTACCATCGCATCCCTAATAGAACTTGCAAGCGAGCCATGTTTTAACGTGATGCAGAGGTATATGCTGTACAGGCAACGTGCACTTGTTGAGATGAGTGCTGCATTCATGAAAAGCTTGGTAACTTGTTTTGTTTTCCTGTGGGCTGCCTACTATAATATCACCGTTGGTGTTCTGCCGTTTGCACTCGGACACTTGAGCTATGCATGTGCACTTCTTTGTGGTTATGTTATAGCTATCAGAAAGATGCCAAGGCATTCAGACTTTTCTTTGCTGCTCACAAGATTGCAGTCGCGGTAAGTATGCCTGCCTGGATTTGTGTATTAGGACACCACCTGATAGGAACCCCAGTGATCGCCACAGCTATGTGGCTAACAAATTCCCATGGCCAATGATCTCATTGGCTGCAAGTGTGTTTCTTCAGTCCATCGTCAAACATCTCCTCACGCAAGGGGATTCAATGATCCTAGCGACAATGACAAGCCTAGAAGATCAGGGCATCTATGCCCTCGCCTCAAACTATGGTGGTCTCGTGGCCCGCATACTGTTTCAGCCCATTGAAGAAAGTAGTCGGGCCATCTTCTCATCACTGCTTCATAGCAACTACCTCGAAAAGCGACGCACGGGGAATGTCAGTCGCGCCAAAACGCATCTAGCCGACATCCTGCGCGCCTACAGTCTGGTAGCTGCAGTGGCCTTTCCCCTCGGTCCAGCTTTGGTACCTCTAGTGCTCGATTTCCTGGGCGGGCGCAGCTGGGCTTCGCCTACGGTGAGTAGCTTACTATCTCTTTACTGCCTTTATATACCATTCTTGGCTTTCAATGGTATAAGTGAGGCATTCGTTTCTTCGGCTGCTAGTCCTTCAGAAGTTCGCAAACAGGCACTATGGATGGGAGTGTTCTCAACTTGTTATGTTTCAGCAGCGTACGTATTCTTAGTTGTCGGTGATTTGGGTGCTCAAGGGATGGTCTATGCCAACATCGTCAATATGGCGGTTCGTACTATCTGGAGCTTTTTATTCATTCGGTCATTCCTACAACGTTGCACCTTGGCATTACGGCCATCCGAGTTCCTTCCCCGGCCCCAGACTTTTCTGGCTGGCATCATGATATCGACAGCTTTTATGAGAAATGGATCCTACAGGGTCAACTCTAGAGATTTTTCAGGTACCTTGATATATAGCGCTATATACATTATATTTGTGTAAGTCTCTATGCAACTTCGAACTTTTGTGAACCCGACCACTAATTATCATGCACACGGTCAGGTTGTATGCTGAGAGAAAATACTTGCTAGCACAATGCACCAAAGCCAAAGAGATTTTGAGATCTGGATGCAAATACAAACGAGGTTGAATGTCTCATTGTCAATCATCAAAGACAATCTTGGTTGCTGCTTTGCTCGAGTCAACGTCTTTGAAAAATGCACCATAGGCATCATGTTGCTTCTTCTTGACCGTCGAGCCGAACTTGAGAAGGGATTCTGGTACATCCTGTTTGGCTGCTTTGAGCACGTTGATCAACCTGCAACCCATTAGCCCCGCAAAAAGAATTATGACATAGGAGAATATCTCCGAATTCGCATGCACTGGAAGACTACTCACCCTCCAGATTGAGCCTTATCCAATTCAGTGAACAGGGTAATTGCATGGCCCTCAGCCCCCGCACGACCGGTTCTTCCGGAAATGTCAGCTAAGTTTCCGACAGCCGTCTTTACCAGGGGCAAGATCACTCACCGTCCGATTCGATGTACATAGTCTTCGACCGTAAGCGGGAATGTGACATTGATAACAAGTTTGACAGCAGGGATATCAAGTCCACGAGCTGCCACATCAGTGGCGACAAGGACGGTAGCAGTGCCACTCTTAAAAGCCTCTAGGCTTTTGAAGCGCTCTTGCTGGCTGAGGTCGCCATGTATTCCTGCAACCTTAAAACCCTTATTCCGTAGAACTCTCTCCACACGAACAGCTTCCTTCTTATACAGACAAAAGACCAGGACTTTCGGGGGCTTGGGGGCCCTTTGACTTTGATTGAGTAGCTGTACAAGCCTTGGCTCTTTCTCATGTGGCTGTATGACCTCAACCTCCTGTTTGATTCTCGTATTCGCGCGAGGATCGGCAGATGGATCTCCGCCGATGGTAACAGTGACAGGCGTTTTCATGAATGTGGTAGCAAGATTTCTGACAACTGGAGGCCATGTTGCTGTGAACATCACAGTTTGTCGTTTTGACTTTGACATGGGATGGATGATGTCCTTGATATCTTGTTCAAACCCCTTGTCCAACATACGATCGGCTTCATCCAAAACAAGGTACTTGACCTTTGAGAGATCGACCGAGCCGTCATTTTGAAGATCCTTCAATCTACCCGGAGTTGCGACAACAATAGGTGCAGTCTTCAGAGCTTCGCGCTGTTCATCCTTTGGGACTCCGCCAAAGATGCAAGTTACTTCCACACCCAGTGGTTTCGCGAACTTCACAAGCTGATCATGAATTTGTTTAGCCAACTCCCTAGTTGGTGAAATCATGACCGCCATGGGCTGACAAGGCTTTTTATTGCATTTCCTCTTCGAATCTTGTAATTTCTTGAGGCATGGCAATCCGAAAGCGAGGGTCTTACCACTACCAGTCTCAGCAATACCAATCACATCGCGACCAGCGAATAGCAAGGGCCAAGTTGTTGATTGAATGGCAGTCGGAGAGGTGAAGGAACCAAGGGGATCGTAGAGTTTGCCGTCGCAGGGAGGAAGATGTGAGAAAGACATGATAGGCCGAAGATTTGCAGCATCTTTCGAGGTGTCGGTCACTTTGATTGTGTTCTCGGTAAGAAAGTGCTCTATGTCTGATTCTGGCAAATCGCTCAATGCGCGCGACTGGACGTATTTCGGTTCGTGCCCTGCGATATCCTCGGATTTTTCCGTAGCCTTCGAAGCATTCTTTTCTTTTCTCGACTTTTTCTTCAGTCTGTGCTCCGTTCGCTCCTCTTCATACTCGCGTTTAGCCATGATTCAGGGTTTCACACAGATGATATCTGAGAAACGAGAAGTCGCATGCACTCAGAAACCTAATATGGTTTATCCTGCCTTTGGCCCAGGAATTTTTTTTTCTCTTTTTTGCCGGGGCAGTTAATCTGATTGCCGGCTGATTCGTCGGAGAAACGTGCCCCATGAAGCAAAGTGGATACTAAGCGTAACTATCGGCTTTTGACTGATTGGTCTGATCCCTGAATATTATCGGCTTATCTGAAAATCTTCAAAGTCCCACGTTGGCGCGGACCATCCACCCCGTGGACTACTGAGGTACTGTAGACTCCTAGAGGCTACATTATTGTCCAAGTTAAAGTTCGGCACTACAGTACATGAGCAGGTAGACCTCGGACGCTCGGAGAGACATTCACTCGTACACTTGTTGCGGCTTAGCTCAAACATTCTGTAGTTAGTTAGCTTAGCTAGCTGTACATGCCACCTGGTAGCGCCTGCTTCTGATTCTGTGGCAGGCCAAGCCACAAATCATGAATATGACTAGTTAAAGGTGCAGATGATCTTCCCTTTCGTCTGGTTGCTCTCAAGTAGCCTGTGAGCATCTGCAATATCCTCAAATGAAAAAACCTTTTCCACATAAACTTTGAAAGTTCCGTCCTTGAATCTTGGTAATGCCTGATTAACCAAGAGATCACGCAATTTCTTTTGGTATTGTTCGTCTCTGCTCCGTAACGTGCTGCCCTCGAACCTTATCCGCTTCATTAAAATGCCACTAATGTCAACATTACCAGGGAGTATTGAGCCACTCATTTGTCCCAGCTGAACAATGTGAGCGTCTTTTGCCGCTACATTCAGATTGCCCTGGAAGTGTGTCGCACCGACAAAATCGATTATAACATCGACACCACGGCCCTTTGTCGCATTCAAGATCTCCGAATCCCAGTTCTGGTCCCTGTAATTATAACCAGCAGTAGCACCCAATTGACCGACGCAAAAGTCGAGCTTCTCCTTAGAACCAGCAGTTACATAAATCTCCGATGCACCACTGTTTCGAGCAAGCTGAATTCCAGCTATCGACACTGATGATGCTCCAGCATGCCAGAGAACGGATTTGCCTGGCGTGTGACCACCGATCAAATAAAGAGCTTGACATGCCGTGATCCATGTCTGTAGGTATGTTCATGTTAGACGAAGGGTGTTTAACCGGGGAGACACTTCAATCTACCTCGGGTATTCCTGCTGCTTCTATCCAAGTCATATCGAGAGGTTTATGTATCAACATATTCGTCGATACAGCGATGTACTCAGCATATGCACCTGCAAGACACTGATTAATCATGTCAAAAATCATTTCTAAGTCTCACTTACCACCATACGCCAAGCCGAAAACCTCATCGCCTATCCGAAAGCCATTGCAATCGGCTGCTCCGAGTTCCTCGATTACACCAGAGAATTCTACCCCCATGGTGCTTGGAGCCTGCGGCGGAACGGGGTATTTGCCCTCGCGCTGCAATAGATCCATTCGGTTCAAACCGAAGGCCCTGATTCTGATCAAGGCATCGCCACCTTTCAGCTTCGGAGTGGGGATCTCTTCGATGAAAAGGGCATCAACATTGCCTTTCCCACCGCGAATGCCTATTTATAATCGTTCAGACTCAATCGGGATCAAAATATGAATTCTCAGTGGTCCTTACCGATCGCTCGCATAGTGGTACTGATACGCAGTCAAGTACTTGATAGCAAATAAATTCAATTGTATACCCCAGAAGGAGATTCGACTGGATAATTATTCGACCTGGATAGTAACTGCTCAGTCAGGTGTTAGTTATCAACACCGTCACGTTACGCATTTGTCATCCACAACGGCAGATTAGTCATGACGACGTAGTAGAACTAGAAGTACTCATAGTTACGGGCAGATATTACTCTACTGGTGCGCAGGGAATGGGACATATATTGTAATAGGAATTGATCACATATACACAAGGATGGATGCAGATGCTGGCATTTTCAAGCCCAGCACGGGCACGTCAGCTATCCTCATGATGAATGAAAGCACAATGGCAAATTCAAGGTGATTAACAGGCTGATTTACTATAAGCAAATCAGAGTAGTGTAGCGGTGTGCATCATGAATGTCTTCAAGACAAATTATACGAGTCAATTTGTTCTGCCAGGCGAGAAGCCTCCTCAGAGTAGTTGATTGCTCTGGCCGATGATACCTGGTATCGAACTCTAGAAACCCGAGGGAGAGATAGAATCAGTCACCGATTGCGCTAAATCAATGAAAGGGTAAAACTTACCGCTGCTGATCACCAAAGTGATCTATCTTAGCCCTGCATCGGAAATTCCACGTCCGGCAATTAGCATCTTGAAACAGTTCACCCGCTGCTCTCTCGTCTGCCTGTCGCAGCTCCATCAACTGGTCTGCCGTAGTGCCCATCATCTGTCTTCCCACATCATCAAAGCAGCTCAACCAAAGTTGACCAGTATGGTCGCTCACATTGACAAGCATTATGTAGCGATATTCTGGTCGCGAGTGTGTCTTATCACACCGCTCGCAACGCCATTGACCAGGATCAAGCTCCGTCACTTTTTTATTGCAGCCTTCTGAAAGGCAGGCGGGGTAACATATGTTGTCTTGCTTTATGTAGATGACAGTCGCCTTTAGTGAAAAGTAGACTGCCTCGTCGGACATTCCGAGTTGCTCTTCCCGGACTTGAGCTATGGTCTTGAAGTGATCGGGCCTTGCGGCGGACGTCGCTGTACCCGACATTGAGGCATGCGACGTGAAAACACTATCCCTTCCCTGCGCATCATACCAGCCCTTAAGCTTGTGAGCTTCTTCGATATCAGGGTCTACTGTTGTTGAACCTGAACTCAGCAGACTTAGACTTCGCCCTCCAAAGTCGGAAACCTTGACACCCTTGAATGCCATCACTGACTCGGGTAAAGTGTTAAAATTCAGTGCCGTATTGCCCCAGATAGTTAAACGAACTGAGTACCCGGTATTGTCAACCAGTGTCAATTCACGCTTGTTATACGGTTTGCTTGTGGTCTTCGAGACGATTTGAGAGACTTCGCCAGCCTCTTTCAGCACGCCGATAACATCAATCGTAGTGTCCTTTTCCACTGACTGAAGATCGCTAATTGTAGTGAAATTGAACCGGACTTGGGGCACATCGCTCTGGTCTTCCGCCTGGGAAAACTATCAGAGGATTATCATCATGGGGATGCGGGGGCTGACATACCTTTTCAACAATGGTGTCTCTTTCAAAGGTAAGTTCGTAGTCGTTGTTCAGGTTTGTGAATTGCTTCTTGGCGATCTGGACACGACAATTCGAAATATAATAGACACTGCCCTCCTGGAAGACATCATAAAGCATGTCACACTGATCATTGAATCCTGTTGCGCGAATTTCGCCGCTGTCATCCAACAAGTTCACGCTGAATAATTTGCCTTCCGTATTTCTGTTGTGCCACGTTTTGATGGTCGATTTGCTTGTACAGCGAGCCTTGATCGTCCATTTGTGCGAGTACGGGGAAATGGCTTCAATTGGATAGATAGTAGTGTGGGCTGCTGAAGGAAGACCTGTCCGAGTTGTTTGCGTTCGGTGATGAGACGGCGCTGGTGCAACTTGGGGCTTAGGGCCGTAAAACCCATTACTCGATATGGTTGTTGGTTGGGGCTTATCTTCTTCTTCAACCTTGCTCTCCAATGGTCGGGGTTCTCCGAGTTTCTCGCTTTCACCTAAGTCTTGGAGAACATCCAGGTCAAGGATGATGAGAATCCTATGGGAAACGTTAGTGCTGGACGCTCAGACAATGTGATCGTAACAACTTTTTTCCTTTCACGGCATTTGCCTGGAATGACTTCAACTTGACAAAGCATCCTTTGCGAAGCAGGCCACTTGTCACCTTATGATTCAATTCTACATGACACGGCAGTTAGGATTGTTATGTTGGGGGGGATGTCTGTCAAAAAGCAACAAGGATTCTAACTGACGAGTAGCGAGCATAGTCTGCACATAATTCGAAATGTCGCTGAAGACAGCCCTGAAACGTTCTTGGTTGTTCTGCTGCGGCGGCAATGGCTTAATCTGGACACACTGAACAATAGGTTCCTGTATCTGGGGCTTGGTCTCATCAAAAATAGCACTTTATCATACCGGATCAGTGACTGAAGGTGAGACTTGGACTGACGACCTACCTAAGGGCTCCGATCGAGACCTGCGATGCTGGATCCAAAGCCATGATTATACAGCCTGCTCCAAGTGCCTGGGAACTAGTGTCGAGATGTTAGGTACGTTGATGGCTTCGATCAATAGAGTGGGTGGTTTCAAACAATAGGATATTGAATGACGTCCAAGATGTCTTATGGTGCAGTTAGGTTTTGATGGTTTAGTGATTTGCTTGAGGATAGTAAGTGACAAGGGAAATGACCATGAAACGGAAGACGCGTGCCGCGTCCATAACGCGCAAAAACGTGTTCAATAATCAAGCCCCACTTACTTAGTGCTTGGAGCCTTTCAAATTAGTCTTGGCTCCTCGGGAAGCTGCTGCCTGTTGCCTTGAGCCAAACAGCAAGCCACTTGTCAAAACCCACTTTCTCTACCCTCCGTGGCCACGAATTTTACAACATGCCAAGGCCTATCTGCAGCCATCTTTCTTAGTTCTATATAGCGTCTCTTGTAACACCTATACATCTTCTAATTAAGAAAATTAATATAATATATTATATTACTGAATTGTTTTAATTTTCAGGGTTCTCTGTCTCTCCGGACCTCAAACCTATAAAACTATATAGTATTTGATAAAGAATTAGATTTAATATCATTATCCGGATAGTTTTAACAACAAAACGTTGATTATAGACATTGTTATACAGATTTAAAAGAAGATTAGCTACTAAGCTTACTTTTTAAGCCTTAGTAAAAATACTTTTTGAAAGAATTTAAGATATAATCTGTGTAGATAGTAGTCTGGTCTAATAAAGTAGTAGAAATCCTTGAATAGTTTTAATTTTTTAATTTTTGATTGTTTACTGTAGTATATTAATAAGTTTTATGTTACTTATAGTATAATTTATATTTTTATTATAAATCTGTAAGATGTTCTTAGCTGCTTCCACCAGTGGGTCCTGGAGAGTTATAAAATGTGTGGCTATAGAGGGTACTTAATATAATAGAGACTGTCAGCAGACCTTCCGTAAAAAGTTATGGATATGTTCCAGGTTCTGTAAACAGTTTAGCTTGCCTATTAAAAAAGACAGTCATATTCAGAACTTGGAAAATATTCCAAGTTACTTAAAACATATTCCAGATTCTAAATATAGTAAGATGCTATATTAAAGATTAGTATCAAGAAGCGGGCTGGTGTCTGGTTCTTAGTCTGGCGGGGTGGTAGAAATAGCAGCTCTTGTCACAGTGCAAACCTAATGTACCTATTTTATCTAATCTATTCGGTTAATCTGTTTAATCTATTTAGCTTCTTTAATTTACTTTTTTAGTAATCTAACTATTTATACTAATTATTCTATATATATAATTTATATTTTTTTTAATTATTTATTTATTTTTAATTCTATTATAGCTTTTTAAGCTATATTTTATTTATAAATCTAAAAATAATCTAATCTAGTAGCTAATAAAGAATCTAAAGAATTTATTAAAAAAATCTTTTAATTAGAACTATTATTTTTATTATTTATATTAAGAAGTAGGCCAGCATCTGGTTCTTAGTCTGGCTGGATAGTAGAGATAGCAGCTCTAACTAGAAGATTTTTTATAATAGATTTTTTAGATTTTTTACTAGCTATTGGATTAGATTATTTTTAGATTTATTTATAAAATATAGTTTAAAGTACTATAATAGAGTTAGAAATAAATAAATAATTAAAAAAATTATAGATTATTTATAAAACAGTTAGTATAGATAATCAGATTATTAGAAAAAAATTAAATAAAATAAATATATTAAATCTATATTATAATAAAAAATTTTTAAAAACTAAGTTTTATTAAAATATAGATTATAGCTTATTAAAATAATAATGATAAAAATTCTTAACTATTTAGTAGATATTTTTTAGATATTAAGCTGATTTAGTAGTTAGATTTAAATATTTAATTTATTTAATAATATATATTAATTTAAAATAGCTATATTTTTTATAATTTATATAAATTTAAAAAAAAAATTAAATTTTTATTTTTTTAAGCTGTTAATTTATATATACATGTGGCAGTTTCGTCTTATCGAAGTTCTGCCGTGTGTTCGGTTGCCGCCTCCCACGCCGCCTTCGGGCATCTTTTGGTCTTCTCGTCTTCCCGAGTCCTCGTCTTTTACAAACAATGAATCAAGCATATACACATACTCTGTAGCGGTTTGGTCTGGTATATTAATTCTACTGTTGTTTCCCGTCTTTGGCGGATTTTTTGTAGTTTGACTTTTAGTAGTTTTATAAAAAAATAACTATATTAATATAATTAATTTAATTAATTTATTTATTTATTAATTATAACTGTTATATTTGGTAGTATATCCGGTTATTTAAATATATTTTATATATATTTTTAAAAAAAATATACTGGTTTTTCTATTATTTTTTTATTTTTATATTTATTTTTTATTTTTATATTTTTCGAATATTTTATAGTTATTTTTTTTATATTTTTAAGATTTTTTAGTTGCTTTATGGTTCTGCCGGTTAATTATTTATTTATTTTTTTGGTTATTAATTACTATATGTATTAAATTCTTATTCTAGTTATATAATTAGCTAACAAAAATAGAATATATATTTATATTA